AATATAAAGGAGGAAGACTGGATTTCCTTTGGGTAACAAACACTGCCATTGGCAAAGCGTCGTAAACGCGCTGTTACATACGTCTACAAAATAGATCCAGCGCATTAAAAGTAGTTGTGATTTAAGTGATGTGCTTTAGACATCGCAGAAGCACAGCCCTGCATTTATGGTCTGCTATAATCCCCTTGGGACATATGAGCATAGATACGTAGACGCAACATATGTGTGTATTTACAGCTGTGGACAAATGGACTGTATACAAGTGCATTTCAATGTACATAAGGACACAAACCAGCAAACTTTCCACACACACATGGGAAGTTAGGCATTTTCAGCTGGAAAGCGTCCACTTTGAGATACAAACTGTATCACAGCTGTTTAGCAAAGTGGCCTTTCGGATAATTTTGTTAGCCGAAAAGTGGCCAAACCGCCATCAAAGACTGTAAGAGCTGCAATTATTTTGATGTAACATGAACTTTTAAATAGGATCCACCAGAGTATCTTTAGGCTCAAAGATATTTGTCCCATGTCTACGTATCAACCAACATGGTACACTATTAATTATTTACTTTCCAGAGAAACGAGCGGTCAGTTAGCATCTTGTTTGTTTGTAACCATGGGAACCTAGTTTCATATGACAATATTAGCCAGGTTACATTAAACTGGGGTTTGTTTCTTATGAGTACGATAGTCGAGGCATCCTGAGTCACAGTGTTATGGAAACAAATTATTTGGCGAGAAGTGGGTGTATATCCAGAGCAGTATGGCCATGAAAATATTAACACTTACTTCATATAAATACACACCCATCTGGGCACAACCCAAACTTTCAACCGAAGACAACTCCAGCTATTTTTAACACCCGTAAACAGAAAGGTATGACACGTCTACAGCATACATTTAAAGACAATACACAGACAATCAACAGAAAGCTTTATCTAATACCTACGACTAAAATGCGCACTATTCTCAAACGGAATGCGGACAGAATGTAAAAATTTATAAATACAGAGTGTACAAATCCACTTGATTATTCATAAGTTAGCATATGCATGTTGAAAATACATTGGCTTGGTTCTGAAAATTAGGCCTAAGGTTTGGTCTGGAGAAACAGAAAGATATCAAAGCTATGAAAAAATGTATGTTTGCACCTCAAGGTACGGCACACCTAAAAATAAGTTTAGAACATATTCTTTTGCATGCAGCTCCATCCCACCCCCTTCCTCCATGCAAATTCAGTTTAATTTCCTGCTACCGACTACATTTCTGTGGTACTGGTAACATGGAAATGAAATCAAAATGAAGGTCAAATTCGTTAGTGTGAGATCAACGTGGCACGAGGAACCTAGCACAGGGGTGCAGACTCAGTGGGTTTCCAGCTTAACACACCCAAAGTGTTGGGTGTGGGGTGCAGGGAAATAAAAGGAATTCCTGGTGTGGGAACTTGAGTCTGTGCCAGCGTCCAGCCTGACATACCAATGGGATATCGCTCTCAAAATCCTCAGGGGACAGAACGGACAGGACTTCCCCCAGCACTCCTGTGAAAGGCCTCACTGACACGTCTTTAAGTTGCTGACATTTGAGTCTTTAGGCCCGTAAGGCCCTCAGCGACCGACATGTCCAACAAGGGGAGAGGCAGTGGCTCAGGTAACGAGAAGCCTGCTTTACCTCGTGTTTACGTCCTTCACCAGCTATTCATTACCAATCCCAGATAAAATTAGTCTCCTGAATTTACATTTAAATCATCATTATATCACTGACGCAACCTTTCATTTACCCAGAACTGCTGGGAAGTTCACAAAAGCGTAAGAGGTGAAGAAATACAGCCTCTAGGATTTTGGTTAGGTGTCAACACAGCCCCCCCCCCAATCAAATTTGTTATGGGAAAATGTGGACTTACTGGCTGGGAGCTGGGAAGGAGCAAAGATATGGAGCATCTAGGAGTCTCTAAGGACTTTCATAAACCGACATGGTACAGGCTACTACACACCTAGGCTACAGAATACACTCTAAAATAACGACAGAAAGCACAATATTGTAAATAAATAAATGAGGAAGGTAGTTGTTTATTATCATTATCGAGTATTATGTACTGTGCATAATTGTATGTGCTATACTTTTGTTTACACCAGCATCACTATAAACATGTGAGTAATGTGTTGCACTATGATGTCACAACGGTGACAGTTGCTAGGCGATAGGAATTGTTCAGCTCCATTCAGATCCATTATGAACCACTGTCGTATATGTGGCCCGTCATTGACCGAAGTGTCGTTATGCGGTGCGTGACTGTATTAAGCGATTTACCTGAGACCATTAATGCTGTCCAGAGGCCATCGCTTTATTAAAACACAAACAAGCCTACCTCACAGACTGCCCCTTTTCTGTCAACAATAGACAGTCCTACTGCTCTCTGACATTTGTTTGATGTCATTACTTTGCTTCTGACCAGGGGAATACCCATACCCCTCCGATATCCATTTCTTACATATTTCTACATGCATTCATTTACATGTATTCATTTCATTTGCCACTTTAATCCAAAGTACAGAAAAGGGTTCAAATTTCTGCGTGCTCCCTGGGACTTGAACCCAGGACTTTCGTTTTGTTAGCGCTCTTTGCCCTACATATGCTACATATTCTTGTTAGTTATGTCAGCAGAACAACGCTGCAGGGAGGGGCGAGCTCCGCGCACGTGCATGTCACCGCTACGTAACCATATGGACGCCCCCCCCCTCCCCTCTAGGGCAGAGCTCAGCCTCGAGCCGAACTCCACTGTCTGTCAACTGTAGCTGCGAAACATCCACGAATGCACACTGCCCCTTCCCAGTGGAAATCCTGAATGCACACTGCTCCTTCCCAGTGGAAATCCTGAATGCACCAAGCAGCAAACCAGGGGTGTATAAACTACACTCAGTGTCCAGCTTATTAGACACACCTGCTTGTTAACACTAACAGCCTGCTGCTCCCAACAGCCAATCACGGGCTGCCTACATCCAGAACACAGACGGGGTCAAGAGGTTCGGCTGAGCATTAGAACAGCTAAGACGTCCCGATTTAAGCGATTTTGAACGGAGTGTGATTACTGGTGCCAGATGTGTGGGTTCCAGCTTCTCAGAAACTGCCAGTAGACAGTAAACAGCTCAGTAGAAAGGCACTATGCAGAAAGGCATCTCCAAGTGGGTTCTACCAAAACCAGCTAGACACACCTACTAAGTATCCACAGGAACTCAAAACTTTTCATCAAAATAAATAAATAAATTTAAATACCATCAAAATAGTTACAGTCTGTAAACTGCTTCCTCCTCTTAGTTAAGGTGGTTAGCAAAATAATGCAAAAATGTTTGGTTACTTGAGGGAAGCTATAAAGGTTTTTTTGAATTAGTCAAATACCAATTTGCAAATAGTACCTGTGTCCTTTCAGCAAAACTCTCACATTACAATAACAGAGGCTGTTATTAATAACTGTGCTTACTTATAATTCATGTAAATATTTAAAGAGGACTAATATCAATTTTTAGGGTGCAGTGGTAATAACCATTTAGGTTATGTGCAAGACACATTAACTGGGACGTGCACTGCAGTATCGCTGTGATCTTATTTCACGAGTACCAGGTCCTGCCTTTAAACGTGGTGTAGTTGCATCTTTGAGCATAAAACACTTTAATATCTCAGCCAGCTATGTCTTCTGTAGCTACATTGTTTTATGCTTAGGAATTCAACAACAAATAAGAATTAACATGCAGACACAAAGTTTTACAAGCCTATAACAATCAAGAAACTTCTGTACACTGTGAGTCCTTTCCTAATTCAAAAGTTCTTTAGAGAGGATTTTATACAGTATTGTGCTATTTGCTCAGGTATCAATAAAACTTCTCAGATAGGCCAATATGTCTCAGATAATGAAACTTTATCTGTCTCCCGAGCAAAGGTCAGCTTCTTAGACATGTCTCTGTCAAGTTGGACATCCGTTAGAAAGACATAAAGTAGATTGCACGTTTTTTTAGATGTTACTTAGTTTTTTAATTAAATTTTTGAAGTGGCCCATCAGGACAGTATCAGAAACCCTATCCGGAGCCAGGGAGCAAACGCAGGGAAACGCTGCGAATCATGGGGCCGCTGATGTCATGCAGTTTCGTAGCGTTTTATGCCCTGTATCAACATCATTTCCCCTAATTCAAATTGCATTTCCATGCCCTGAGCTGCATTAATGCATGCCCTAATGCAGCCCCTGATGTACATATTGCATTTAGTAAAGCTTTTAAATTTATACATCATAAATAAAGGATGGCGAGCCCATCCAAAGGCACTCAGAAATATAGATTTGCTTCGACTTAAGACCGTGCATCACTGTATAATGAGGCGATTCGATGCCGGGGCCGTCCAAGAAAAACGCTCTGGACACATGATTATGAAACGTAACGGCAGAAATGGACGATAGACCAGGCCATTATGTACGATTCATTTTAAACCATATAGCTTTCATATAAAAACCACCTTATGTTTGTCACAGGGAGAAGAAGCAGGTCTTAGCAAACTTCACAAAGTGAACTGTAGACAGATATAGGCCTACACAGGAATAACAAAACAAAAAAACAACCATCTTCAGAATTTCACATATTAGTGAGCCCTGTGGATTATTCTCAAATAAAACTCATACAACGAAATCTGGAATGGAAAATATACATAGAGAAAAGTCAACATCAGCTCATATTTAAAACTGTAGACGTCACACTTCTGTGTCCGCAACACAACTTAGTAACCTCGCAATAACGTCAAGCTCCGTTAAAACAGACGACCGTCCTCCTTCATCATCCAGCAGTTATGCGCGTACAGCGTGTCACAGGGACGCGCTTTATAATTAGGGCAGTTGGCACTTGCCGGTAATTTGCTCATCCCGACAGAGCCGCTTCCATTCATGTGCAGTTTTACAAACCGGTGAGTGATCTGGTCAGTAGTCTACGAAACTGGAGATCGGGCATAGATCAGCATAACCTCACCTGTCTGAATTGCTCCTCATAAGTCCATTCGTGCTGCGTCGCTCCCCCAGGCGATTGCGACTGTCCCGGCGCGGGGCAGGGTTGCCGCCCGGCCCTGGGCAGCGTCTGCGCTGCTGTACCCCTCTGCAAAGAGCTGCGGGACGGCGAGCCCCTCGACTCTCCCTCCGCTACGTCAGCCACGACTCCCCCATTCTCCAGACCACCTTCCTCCAGATCCCGATCTTCGGCGTCTGTGCCGGGATCGTCTGCCAGCTCGCTGGCTGAGTCCGAGTGCTCTTCCGTTTCATTGTAACTTAACAAGTCTCGGTTAACATGTTGCCTGTTTTCAGAGCTGGTCCCCAAGGGCGAGCCGGGCTCCCCCGCAGCCAAGGCGCTTTGGATTGCTGCCTGGTAGTGGCCGAGAGCCAGAGTTCGCTGTTTAATCTGTACTTCCACCAGACTCCGTATGTGTTTCTCCTTTTCCGCCTGCCGGAGTCTTTCCTGAACGGCCAGGCGCGCAGCTTGCTGCCGCTGGAGGTTTTCCATGACCGCCTCCAGCTTCATGCCGCCGGCCGGCTGATGCGACTGGGAGCCCGGGAAATGGCTGTGAGTCTGGCCGGGAGACACCAGTATGGGAAGGGAGGTCGCCGATGAGAAGGCGGTTTGCTGCACGGAATGAGGAAATGCATGGCTAACATATTTTTTTTTACGAAGCACAGTCATTCCGAAAGAAGGCAAGACATAATATAGATAAAAGTGCGAATTACTCAGCGTTGGCATATTGCAATTATGCAAGACGGATATTTCTCTGGGTAAGCTTAATAAAATTACTACCGAATCTCTCACGTAACGTACGTTTATCCTTTAACTTACACTAAATTAAATACAGTTTTTAGTAACAACGAATTAATCGCAAAGACATTCAGCCTTGTCGCCAGGATACGAAAATCTGACTTAAACTCGGTTTTCTGTATTAAATCTCTGGCAATAACAGATTTGATATGGAGCAACATTATACATACTACTTAATCCCAAGAAAAACATCCAAATTTAATAACTATACATTGACGTGGAGTACGCAGAGTTATGTTAACATTATGTATATACAAGGCACGTACTGTAAGTTCGTAAATGCATATGTGTGATATATTAATCAATTACTCTGCAAATATAATAAACCCAGTAAACAACACATTTGAATTAAATAAGGCAAAACCAAAAGTATTTTTGGCTTGTTTAGTACATTTTTAAAAGTTTTGTATTTGGAATGAAACATCGGCGCTTACCAAAGCAGATTTTGTTGCCATACCGGTGTTATCAACCATACTCCTCCCGTTATAGCTAATAAAATATCGAACTGCTCTCGATTAACTTTCAGGTGTCAAAAGTGACTGTATTCCGGTCCAACCATCGATATTTCCCACCCGATTACGAGAAAATATTACGTTTAAAAAATGAATATGCGCGGTGAGTCTTAATACCCAGGAGGTCTCAGCAACAAGTGGCAGCTGAAAGCGGAATGACCTCCCCGGGCGAGAGATCAGGCCGCCCGCTCCCATTTGCTAACAGCACGTCAATAGCGTGATAAATACCGAGGGCTGGCTTTACTGACAACCGAGGAAATGCAGTTTAACTGCGAGGGAGAGGGAAGGAACTCTGTTAGTCCACTCTGCCATTTGATCTTATTGGAGGGAGGGGGGATTTTAAGTTCCATTATCTTGTAAGGTGCTCAGAGCAATTGGGATCTTTATAAATTAGATACTTAGTTTATCTCATTGTATTTTGAAATGCTGCCACTTTTGTTAAAAAAGCTTTCTCAGCTGTTAGGAGGTTTCTACTCGCATTGCTTTTGGATTCTGTTTCACTATATATGTAACAATTGAAATTAAATTCTGAACAAAACACCATTTAAATCCAATATATTATTTTAGGCCTATATTTCTGTTTGTGTTTAGATGCAGCAATACGATTATTACCACCCCCCATAGCCCTATTTAATTTGACTTTGTTCGTCAGACCCCCCCAAAAAAGAAATTCTCCAAAGTTTTTAATCTCCGAGTTAACGCAAATGCAACTCCATCATACTGCTCAAAGAATTAACGAGGCTTATACAAGTAGCCTAAATGTTTAAAGAAGTTATTCAAATATAATCTGAAGATATTAACTTTTGCATGTCCTGTTTAGTTGTATATTAGAAATTCGGGAAAACATGACATTGAAACAGCAGTTCGCCGAGCACGTATGACTATGTAAAGAGTAGAATAACATTCCTGAAATACTTTGTCTCTGAAAAAATAGCACAAATAAATCTTTTTTTAAATCCTTTGCCGAGATATAGATGTAGCCTACTTAGCTATTACCTGGCAAGGGCCGCTTGGGGTACATTGCTAGGTGGATAAAAGCTTCATCGGCCTAAATGTTAAAGCATGAAAGGGGTGCGGTGCGACGCACCGCGGTGACACCAGGGAATTTTGTGTGAGGGCGCCCCCGTGTGTCTTGTGTGCCGAGCTCTTTTACGCTTACCTGCGATTCTTTGTTTTTATTAGTCAGTAATTTAAATTGTAGTTTAAATTAACCTGTGTAGAAGAGATATTCCGAAACATTTACTGCATTATACCGATACACTCGGCTGTTTGTTTCGGTTATGCAATTTTTAAACGTTTTTATTGCATTTAGGTTTTAACGAAGTATGGTTGTGCAATCAATATTTCGATTTTAGAAGAAACGCTTAATGGTTAAACGCTTAATGGTTTTGCAATAACAACACTAGGAAGTTTGTTAAATCGCGATCAATGTGTATTAATTCATTTACTGGGTAAAAGAGTTTTAGTTGGTCCTGTTTAAATAATTGTTAATAGCTTTTCATATGAACAATACATACCAAATCCGTAATTTAAATTTGCGCCATAAGTGCATACCTCTGATAAAGTAGGGCGAACAGGGTGTTTAAACCGCTTTACTGATCTCTACAACACGTGGTTTACGATAATCCCAAGTATAACCTAAATCGTAAAAATGTTTTGCACTTAATTCTTAAATTAGAGGGGGGAATGGCCTTGTTCCTTTAGCAAACAGTTTGTTCTTGCAGGAATAGTAATATATAACATATTATCCATTTACATTTTACTTATTTAGCGGATACTCTATGGGCCAGTTTCCCAAACAAGGATTAAGCCTAGTCTTGGACTAAATTGCAGTATCAATGGAGATTCATCATTGAAACTCAAAGCTAGTCTAGGCTTAGACTTAATCCTTGACTGGGAAACTGGCCATATATTATATAATATAATCACAGAAAAACACACACACACAAAATGTGTGTTTAATATATATATATATATATATATATATATATATATATACAGTATATATATATATGTGTGTGTGTGTGTGTATATATATATATATATATATATATATATATGTAGGAGTCAAATTCTCTAGGCTTATCATATAGCATGCTGGCAGACGTGTCAAACACACAAAAGAAAGTAAAAAATGCATTATATTTTGTTGCGTGCTAATAGTCACCATCAGGACACGCTTCATAGATGGCAAAATCCTGCCTCCTCCCTTGCGATGAAATGTCAAGAACGAAACTCTTTCCTGTTTAGATGTCATTAAGATACCATTGTATACACCCATTTCAGTAGAGTTAGGTGTTATTTTACGAAAGCCTCATTATACTGGAGAGCACTGAGCAAACATCACAGAAGCCTAAACGGTACATCGTGTAAGCACCAATCTTAAATACCTAACAAGTTAATCAGATTAACCTTTTTAATGCCCACCTGTTGTTTGAGCACTGAAGAAAATCCTCGTTCAGCCGCCTAAAGACTGAAGATTCTGGAGAGACCTGCTGCTCCTTATTGAAATATGAATGCAATATCTGAACCAGCAAAACAGGTTCGGTCTTGGTGATGTGCTTTAAATCTTTTACCGCGATGTAAATACCCACTTTAGCCGCTGACCCTAACAACTCACTGCAGAAGCAGTAATCACACGTGCATCGTATGTTCCGGTGTTATGCCGAAAAAGGCATCCCTGCCTTAGAATGCATGCCGGTGTTCCGACGAGTTGAGCTTTTAAGGGTTTTTTTGGGGGTCAGGGTTTTTTTAGGGGTTAGGGGTAGGGTTTTAGGGCTGTTTTGGGGGTTAGGACCAATCGGTCATTTAGAGACAGGCATGCATTCTACGGCAGGGATGCCTTTTTCGGCATAACACCTGTTCCACTTGTCTACAGCATACGCGCTTGTTTGATTTAAAAAGAAAAAACAGTTGTGTTAAGATTTGTTTGGAAGGATTTAAGTTGGACAGGTTAAGTTTGGATATGCATATTAATACTATACGCGAAGGAATGAGATAACAAATGCAACATATATGAAGCCACTACTACAGAATATGTGCAGTCATATTTGTAGTAGCCTACCTTAAGAGGGGAAAAGGCTATAAACAAACATGTAACAATATTAACCACAAGTTTTACCATAAACACCTGGCTTTGTCCCTATTATAAAAATAAAAATATGTACAATGTGTGAAGATTACTTATTTGTGATGTTTAAATGTGCCTGTGAAATACAACAGGTACAAAATACTTCTCAGTTAGGTTTAGAACGGGTTGCTCCAAAAATGATCGCCATCTAGTGTACGTAAATACAGATTCACAACAGAAAAATAAAAGACTTGTGAACAGCTTGCATTGTGGTAATGACATCCACGTGCGTTCTATACGTGATATCTAAGTATGATATTAGGAAAATTCGCCTGGTACTGAAAATTTCTATTTACTGTATATATGATGGACTGACATATCGTGTTTAGTGTGTACCCCTGCTCTGTGCCCTATGCTGCCCGGGACAAGCTCCAGACCCTGATAAATAGATGGACGCATTTAATATATAAAGGTGAAGCTGACATGAAGCAATCAGTCAACCAAATCCTTCAAATACAGAGATTTTCAAAGTAGCAATATATTTGATCTAAACACAAAAACTAATGTAAAAACGACAATACATAATGTAAATGCATTAATTACGACAATCCAAGAATTCAACATTGTGCAGCTCATTTGTTTTTGAGACCATTTGTCTGCTCTGTCCCGTCACTGATTAATAGCTCGTGAAGTCCTTGATGGTGCCACAGGCAGACATCGAAGGGAATTTAATCAAATGCAGCACCATGACGTCACCAAGAGGTCTGGAACTTATCGCCTGATCAAGGCCAGCGATTAATCATGACTTGCGTCTGTCTGGCAGTCAAATGGCACGTCATTTTATAATAGATTAACATGATATCTAATGCCTGTGATAGGTTGGTGTTCTATCCTAGGTTATTCCCTGCCTTGTGCCCGTAGCTTCTGGGATAGGCTCCGGACCTCTGGAAACGGGTATAGAAAATGATTGGAGGCTGGATATTTAATGTCTAACATGATAAATAAAGATACCAGATGGTACTCATAGCACAATGGTGCAGTAGACCAATTTGTTTGTTCACGTAGAACGTATAAACTAAAAACACCTTTGAAAATACATAAAACAAATAACACATAAAAGAAAAGCAGACATCTAACACTATAGGACTGAGATGTAAAACCAGTAGACGCTGAGGAAACCCAGCGTAAGGTTTGAATTAAGCCTCGTATGAACCTCAGGCTGGCTTCTGGATGTTGGAGCCAAACACCAGCCAAATCTGTAAACGTGTAGATGAAGTGGACCGTTATGGTTCCTATTACCCGTATGGTCAGCAGTTTGTAGAAGGTGCCCCATCAATGATAATTGTCCATTGGCCTTGCCTGACAAGTTAATGAATTACATGAAAAAAATCCCAGTGTGAGAAAATGAATTTATGCATCCTGAAGTGAATTCCCTTCCATTACAAGGCACACTCTCAAAAACAAAATCAAACAAAATGTGGAAAGCTTTGTCACTACAGGAAAACATGCAAACCCCACACCCAGAGCCAGGGAAGGATTCTTTAGATATATGAGAGGCTGGTACACTCAGAAAAAACCGTATAGCCCTGGTACAGTTTTGTTCCCCAAGGTACAAATAACATTAATGTACCCAAATGGTACAAAAATGATCCTCAGGGTTAGGGCTGGGCGATATGACCTCAAATCAATATCACAATTAACTGAACATTTTGCCTCGATTACGATCAATGAACCACTATTTTCCCCCCCCTCATATTTCACTGACAATGTTTGTACTGTAAATATGCTCAACCATTAAATCTATTATATTGTTTTGAATGGAACACGGTATATCTTTATGATTTAAAAATAACTGAAGGAAACACACAAATGAACCATTTATGGTTATTTATTTTATACATACATACAAAAAATCAAAGCACAAATCGCTTAAAATGAAAACATGAGAAAGGTCACATTTTAGTTTTAATGTAAAAAGCAAGTTCCCTAAAAAGCAGAAAATTGTTTGATTTTTTTGCAAACAAAATACATTAATATAGTACTGTATATAAAATATATAGCCTATTGTAGTTTCGCCGTTGGATCTCAGTGGCTAGTTTTTGAGGTTTATCAATTAAGCTTTGATGAGTCTAAAAGTAAAAAAAAAAAAAAAAAAAAAAAAGAGGAATTACCATAAAAAAAAATTTCCATATATTGTTATGTATAAAATACGTAAATATTCCTTCTTCGCAATATTTTTCCTTTACCAATAATAACTGTACTGTGTCCATTTAAAGT